CAAACTTATCCAGACTACTTGAGATTTCGAAAAAGGTGATGACATATCCTCTTACGAAAACGACATCTATGGGATCGACTCGATCCAATAATATCAAAGATAAGCGACGCTCTCGCGTTTCAAAATCAAACCACAGCAGAATATTACAACCAGTAGGCTATCGTGATCCACCCGAGTTGTCGGGGACCTTCAACCGCTCTTAGGATGAGATTCTCATCCAACGCGTTCAGTGCTGTAGTATCGAAGGATTGGACGATTTGACGGTCGGAAACTGATATTGTGTTCAGTTTATTCGCGGTTGTTATTAGTGTTTTTAGTTTTTGTAGTTGGTTATAAGTAATTTACCACAAAATATTCTATAATAACCTTAAATTTCTTTTTACATGAGCGCACGTCTATGGTGAAATAACGAAATTGGCTCCGCACTCTGTTTCGAGGTCACCGAGAATTTTGTGAATTTATGAATGAAAGTAGTGGGAGTGGACTTACTGGTAGATTTTTACTATGATGATCAAGCTTCGACATTTCTCGTCATATGAGATTCGTCCTTTGTCTTTCTCTGCAGCTTTCACTGCATTTCGGAGTCTCGTTTATCTTCGATATTTATGCGTTGAGTCTTTTATAATCGACCAGCGACCTCGAGCGCTGGTACCTCGAGTGGAAGATCCGAGGGAATCCGGCAAAGACTCAGGCGATAACCATGGGAAAAACGATTTCTTCTCCGGCTATGAAAGTGAGAATCTCTGGAGGGGAGATTGACTGGCAGGCGCGGGTAAAGTACTTCGGTCTTCTAATAGATCGTAGGCTCACCTGGAACCCGCACATTACAAGCGAGAAGGCTAAGATCAAGAGTCGGGTGGCAAGCCTGTACTCTCTGATCAACAGAAGAACGAAGCCATCCGTAGAGATTTGAAGCTGCCTTCCATCCAGCAATCCATCCAGTCGAGGAATCGGCGAGTTTTAGATTGCGCGGAAACTCACGATAATCCGTTAGTCAGGGAAGCTATAGATTACGCTGTAGACGACCCCTCCCAAAAAAGAAGGCCCCGACACTCTGTCGAATGAGGCCCCTACGTCTTCCGTTAAGAGATGAATAATATCTTCATCCATCTCACCCCAGCCAGGTAGGGGTATACCGCAAAGGGCGGTACTGATGTCTGAGGACATTCATGCCGTCACCAATGATCAGTTATGGCCCGCTCGTCACTCTGACGAAAACCAGTTTAAAGGGTAAGGGAGCTAGGCTCCAAGCTGAAGGAAATCAAGATGGATCAAACTGTCAGTGATAGGTGGGTCATTTCAAGCGGACGGAGTGAATCGTCTGAATATCCCGAACAAACAAAATTATCTTTGTTACCAATGTCCAAATTATTTCGATAAGTAAAAATAATAGGCTGAGCCAGCTCGCGGTCGCCAAGTGGTGGGTGGAGTCTACGCCCGCTCACTGCCGAAACTTATAAATATAGCGCTGCGGGAACCATTCAGGGTTTTTACCCTGAAGATGCATTAGCCTAAAGCAGGGCCACACACAAACACACCTGAACAAATGAAATGTTATTATTATTTGAAATTTGAATAAACGATTTTGATTGAACCATTCAGGAATTTTTCAGTGAACCCGAGCAAGACTCGAGCAACAACTATGGAAAGAACAACATCTTATCTGGCCATGAAAGTGATGATCTCTGGAAGGGAGATCGACTGGCAAGCGAGGATAAAGTACTTAGGTCTTCTAATAGTCTCTGCACTTCGAAAACGGAAAGGCGAAGATCGAGGGACATGAATAATGCCTGTGTTGTCCTGGCCCGAAGGCCTTTCAACTGGCATCTTCCCTCTGTCTAGCGCCACCACTGTCAAGGGAACCTCTACTCCTCCGAACTCTCCCCCCACCGCACCACCGACGCATAGCGCTGCCAATACGATGGGACGAATTAGCGGGGTAGAAGACAGTTCGAGGGACAGATCAAAAGTCTGCACCCTCTGATAACGCTTCAGGCGTTTAGGGAAAGATTTATGCAGCTATATTCCATTCAGCAGTCCATTTAGTCGAGGAATCGGCTAGTTCTCGATAGCGCGGAGACTTCCGATAAAACATGAGTTAGGGAGCTATAGATTATGATGTAGATGACCCTCACGATTAAGAAGGTCCCGACACTGAGTCGAATGATGCCCTTATATCCTTCGTTAACGGATGCATAATTTTCTCACCCAAACATCCCAGCCAGGTAGTGGTACAACGTGAAGGGTGGTACGGATGACTGAGGACCTTCATACCGTCATCAATTTCAGTTAGTTGTGTCATTTGTCCTCTTGAGAGACACACGTCGAAAGGGTAGGGGAGCTAAGCTCCATCCTGAATAAATAAACATATACAATCGGCATTCGGGGATTCGAGTGTAAGCCAGTGTAATAGAGAGACAGAAGAAGACCTTTCACATGATGTATCACTCGACCTCCTATGCCATTGAAAGAAATAGTGGGGAGGGGTAGTTGCTGACCGCAGGGGGGTAAAGTTTCGACTATGATTTCCATATCAGAATTGGTCCCCCTAGAAATGTTCTTTGAAATTTTTGATTATACGTCCGTTTCTGACTTACAGGGGAGGTCAAGTTTTCGTTAGAACGCTCAATATATATAAACCTTTCTTTCGAATCAAGTAGTTTTAAAAATCTAAGCATACATAGGGACAGAGAGCTAGAAACGACTTTGTTTTATACTATGTATCATTGAAATAGATAATAGGGTGGTGGATCTCTAAATTTAAAGAAGGGAGATGAATGTGGTATAATAGAACGCATTCTAGTGACAAGTGAATTGAGACAGTTGACACTCGAGAAAGGGGGTGGTGAAAAAAAGGAAGGAGAAATAAAATGGTGTACAGGACCACATATCCAAGTCTTATGTTAACGTAAAATTCAATAATAAACGCTGCTCCCTATTAAACGTTATTTCACTTAATGAACCACGGAGCATTCCAATTAGGGTAGAACAACACATGAAAAAGATCTGAACTCAAGATGGCCGCAACTACAAATTGGCAGATTACATATTTTTTCACAACTACCTCAATTGACTAGTACTATAGTAGTACACTATGAAAAAGATGTGAATCAAATATAATATATGCAAAGAACTTATCATTATTATCTTTTTTTTAATAAAACCGCTCAACAAAATTTGTTCTCACCTATTTTACTTCTTTTATCGTACCACTTGTGAAGGCCACCTTTCGTGGCCAAGTGTTCGCTGATTCTTCAGTACAACATAGACTTCAGGACAAAAACTTGTTGAATGTTCCAAAAATGTTTTCGGGTTTATTGGTAGTTTACAGGTTTTTATAGCTGACGTTTCGTCTACAGTTGCGGTAGACACTACCAAGGTCAACTAAAGTACTTCGTTAGTTACCTCGTCACATTTTATGTCTCTCGCAGTTGTAGATGAAACGACAGGGTGAACATAACCAACAAACACAAAAAGTAGTTTTGACACCTGATGTCAATTTTTGATGTTCCTAATATAATTATATGAATTTCAAATGGATGCAATTGGTCATTGGTCATTTTTCAAAAATAAGTGCAGATTATTTTCATTTTCAGGAAACTTACAAAAATGAGTGCATACTGGTTTTTTCCATTGAAATAAATTTTCAAAACTGGAAAGACGAATACATTTGACCTATAATATGTTAATATAACATTTTGAATGATAATATCTGTACCTGAATGATAATTTTACGTCACTGCATATCAATATTCACTTAAAAGTATTGTTTATAATTCAGTTTTCCTTTAGTTATTCGATATTTGAAGACTGAAAGATCTTCGGTAGCTCAAGCGGTCTCGAAACAGATTTTAATATAGCGGTTTCTAACCTTTTTTTCACATATCAAACATTAAATTCAGATAGACAGTTTTCATTGTTACCTACAAAAATTCTATAACAACTGAAATGCCCAATAATGTAAAATGAAAATACTCTCTACATCAAACAGTAAAGGAATCTACACCAGTGAAATAGTCTACAAATATAATTATATTTACATATTATACAAAAGTAACAACCATCGTCCAATTCTAAAAAAATTCTACAAATTTGTTACAAAAAATATCATTTTTTTCATTATTGCATTATTATCTACAGTTATTACAAAATGCATTTTTGACCAGCAAAAATGTCCTATCAACAATTTGTACAATTGATCAGTGATTTGAACAAGTGGACATACAAAAATTTAACGATTCAGAAGTAGGACTACAGACAAGATTCTAGATTTTTTGGATATCCTCTGTTCATCAAGTTACTTGAAATATAGGAATATTATATTTAGAGAATTTAAAGCGTGTTTAAAAACAATTTCTGAGTATATTTCACTTCAACCTTGTTTACGGTCGATTTTCTGGGTCCCTCTTACTGTTGTTTTGGCTCAGTTGATGGGTTATATTGGCTTGCTCGATCGCTTCTAAGTGCTTGAATCTCTTATGTTTTTCTGAAATCAAGAAATATCTTGATTATAAAGTGTTATGAAAATGTTCAAAAGCATATACATTTATTGACACTTTTAGAAATATGAGATTGTACTTGAACGATTCAAACTCCGAGAGAAACAAGTCATAAGATATTCTTGTATTGTTTGAATTATCCCCTGAAAATATAACGATGGCCGTCGCTGGTCGACTGTGTCGCGTTCAACTCTACTTGTGCTTCTTGATAATAATCATGATAATAGTATGAGTATATTCATGACATTTTATAATATACCTATACATAGGAATTAATAAACAAACTTCTGAATAAACTGATAATAACCTTGAAAAGTGAAACTTGATCGTTCAGTAGCATTGCTTCCGAAGACTTCCATTGGGATATATAAGCACTACCCGTCCTCAGAGGAGGCTACTCTAGTTGAAAGGGCGGTACGAAGTGAGCTGAAGGCGATAGACATCTGACTATCAAACTGAAACACAATATCTGATATCCCTACATCCTTGTCCGAAAAAGATTATGGAAATCCTGAAAAATCATTTTAGACAATGGAAGTCTTCCATTGTCTAAAACCATTGTCTCCCAATGACGCCAACTTGGTTCTAATCATCTAAGTACTATTTGATTGTGGTTAGGTATGTTTAGTATACTGTCATTGTATACTGATTTCGATAGTATCATTTGAATATAGTCCACAATGTTTATCGGTAAATGTAAGAGGTTTGAAAATTCATTATCTAACCAGCGATTGGAATAATGGAAGAGAAAAGAAAGAACTTTAGAGTTTTCGACTTCCATTATCTGAAAAATAGTTTTAGACAATGTCAATTTCCCAATGATGATAGCTTGGTTCTGATGTTGTTGCCTGAATGTTGAAATTTATACTCTTATTGTTTAAAAATTCGCTTTGGAAAATGAAAGTCAGGAGTTCCCTGATCATTTGTCAATGACCCTAACTTTCTCCTCATCTTGATGGTATAATTTGAATGTAGTCCACAATGTTTAACGACGAATGTTAAAGGTTTGGACTCTCATGGTTAGAAAGCAATTTGAATAATAGGAGACAAAAAAACTTCAGAGACTTGGACTTCTATTATCTGAAAAAACATTTCAGACAATGGTTATCCCTCAATAGTTCTGATCGTATAATTTGAATGTGGTTGAGAATGTGACCTAGTGAATGTTGGCGTTTTAGACTCTTATTGTCCGAAAATTCGCTTTGGAAAATGAAAGTCCGGAGTTCCATGATCATCTGTCAATGACCCTAATTTTCTTCTCATCTTGATAGTATCATTTGAATGTAGTCTACAATGTTTAACGACGAATGTTGAAGGTTTGGACTCTCATGGTTAGAAAGCAATTTGAATAATAGATTTGGTTAAGAATGTGAACTAGTGAATGTTGGAGTTTTATACTCTTATTGTCTAAAAATTCGCTTTGGAAAATGAAAGTTCGGAGTTCCATGATTATCTGCCAATGACTCTAACTTTCTTTTAATCTTGATAGTATCATTTGAATGTGGTCTACATCCACGATGTTTATCGGCAAATGTTAGACGTTTGGACTGTCATTGTGTAGAAAGCGATTTGAATAATTATCTGAAAAAACATTTCAGACAATGGTTATCTCCCAATAGTTCTGATCGTATAATCTGAATGTGGTTGAGAATGTGAACTAGTGAATGTTGGAGTTTTAGACTCTTATTGCCCGAAAATTCGCTTTGGAAAATGAAAGTCCGGAGTTCCATGATCATCTGTCAATGACTCTAACTTTCTTTTAATCTTGATAGTATCATTTGAATGTGGCCTACATCCACGATGTTTATCGGCAAATGTTAGACGTTTGGACTGTCATTGTGTAGAAAGCGATTTGAATAATTGAAAGTGAAAGAACTTTAGAGATTTGGACCATTATCTAAAAAAACGTTTAAGACAATGGTTATCTCCAAATGGTGATAGCTTGGTTCTGATCGTATTATTTGAATGTGGTTAAGCATGTTGATTGGTGAATGTTGGAGTTTTAAACCCTCATTGTCTAAAAAAGCGCAGAAGAAGTCCAAACTTACAAAATTGCATTTATCTTACAATTACGTCAGGTTGGTTCTGATCAAATTGGTATTTTTTGAATGTGACTGACAATGTTTATTGCTGAACTTTGAAGATTCAGACTTTCATTATCTGAAAAAAGTCTTAGACAATGGAAGTCCAAAATTTCTCGGTGGAAGCTGGGAGGTTTGGACATCCATTGTCTAAAAAAGTACTTCATATAATAGGAATCACACGTTAAAAGGTGAGACCCCGTTAATGCTTAGCTCGTACAAGTTTCGACTTCTGAGAGTTGTCGTTCGTAGGAGTGCAACAGCTGGTTAACGGAAAAATAAATTTTAAACAGATTTTTTTAAAACAGAATAGAAGTTCAAACTTACATGATTATTAATATCAAAATGGAGCTAATTTGGGATTTTGTCATGTGAGGAAAATTAATGAATGATATATTGAAAATACTTGGAATGAAATATTCGGATGATTCTATTAAAAATATCATCAGGACATGTGAAATGAACAATTAGTATGAAATACAAAAGTATGAGAGTTGATCTGAATATTAAACGAATTGAACAACAAGAATAAAAAATTAAAATATAGAGAAATAATAATGAGAGATGAAAACACTCCCAAATGAGCTATGAATAGTGTAATAATAATAGTAATGATGAAAATAATATCAAATCAATCCCCTGTAAGCATTTTGTGTACATTATTGCTCTTCATCAGTACAAACAGACTCATAGACATTTGTTCAATTTACATTGATGATGTGGCATTCACTTCACTGGTTACAAAAGAAAAAATTAAGTAACAAATTAAGTAACAAACATTTTCTGTAGCCTTTTATTAGACCAGAATTGCTCTATAGCATCACATAGATTTCCCCTGGCCACTCTTCTACCTTCCATTTCATTTCCTCATCATGGAAAATTTAAGTTGAACAGCGTTCAACTTAAATATTGATCTCCTGATATTAAGTCGAGCGTTTAACTTAAACGCTCAACCTAATATCAGGAGATCAATATTTTAGACTATATTCTTTTCTTCACCAACACCACCAACACCACCAATGAACTATTTGCAACCCGTATACTTTCCTTCTATGAATAATAAGAAGAATGAATATTCAGAAATGTTGTGTAAATCGGTTGATACTCACTTGCTACTTTCAACATGATAACTCCCCACCAAATTGACCAGCCCCAGCCGACCAAACAGAACAGGACAGTGAAAAATTGACTGAATCCTATGATGCAATTTATGATGAAGGAACCAATCCTAGCTCTAGGACCATCTTTTTGAGAGAACCTTGGTATTCCAATGCACAGACAAAACAAACCGCTGAATACGGTCCCTAAAAAATAAAACAAATGTTTATAACATACACGAGGTGATCTGCTATGTCCAGCCTTATCAGAGAAATATCTGAAGAGTTTTGTAAACACTTTACTGATATTGGTGAAAAAATGGCAAAAGATTCAAGTAACAAAATAGACGCAGAACCTGTCAGATATAAAAATAATCCAAACTCAATTTTTTTAACGGAGACAAATGAAGCAGAAGTTATGGAGATTATATTAAATTTGAAAAGTAATAAATCACCGGTATCTGTGATACCCAGAACTAAAAAAACGAAAGGGCAGAAATGTTATACTTTTTTGGGACCAAAACTTAACTCTCCCTAGAAATGAAAATTGAAGTGTTCTTTGAAATTTTTGATTACACGTCCGGTTCTGACTTACAGGGAAGGTCAAGTTTTCGTTAGAACGCTCAATACATATAAACCTTTCTTTCGAATCAAGTACTTTTAAAAATCTAAGCTTGCATAGGGACAGAGAGCTAGAAACGACTTTGTTTTATACTATGTATGTATTGATTGTATTGACTAATTCTTTTCATCAATAGTATATCGAGCAGTGAATCATTGAAATAGAGAAAAATAATTACAAAAAACTCACCTGTTCCAGGAAGCAAACAATTCAACACCAAACAGAACCAGGCTAGGCATATGGGAAGAATCGGTATTGCCGCTTTCATATGTGAACTGTGCTCAACAAGACTCAAGTCTATTTTTGGTGTGGTGTCCTGAAAAATATAACATTCTTTAAAACTGATTTTTAGATCACTTAGATCAGATCTCTTCAAAAGTATTCTAGCTGTACCTTGAAAATGCTTAAAAATACATTTGGAAAAATGTGAACAATACTCAAAAAATTTATGATGCAGAAAATAATTGATGGTGGTACATTGACTTGAGTGGTGCTCTAGTTTTCTTGATACAACAAATGAATACATTAGCATTATGCGTGTTTTCCTCATCCTTGATAAAAAAACTCACCAAGGTTTTACACAAAGCCAGACTGTCCCTATGAACATGTCGAAGGATTTGTGTTAGAACTTGGGGTTTAGGTCCATTGGATTTATGTGATGACTGTCAGCCATCAGTACCAAACCGTCAGCGGTCTTGGAGATCCTTCAAAATCTACCTCCTCTCCACATTTTTCTGGAGGGAGAGGCTAGATGGACTGCATATAGACTTGTGCAATTTGCCAATTGCACAAATTAATTCAATGCAGAGTGCAACAGACTGTTGGCTGACACTGAAAGTCACAGAATTCTGGAAATGACCTCTGACTTTATACCTCCAACTGTCAACTACGAACTGCCTTATAACGTACTGTTCCCGAGTAGAGAGAACTAGATCCTCTGGTAGAAGGGAATATTGAGAGCAGATACTTGTTGATTCACAGATGGATCACAAACACCTTCCGGTTCTGGTGCAGTTGTTTTCAGTCGCAGACCCTGGACGGAGATATCAATCTGCCTAGGAAGCTATGCGACTGCATTTTAAACGGAAATTTACGCTATTGAATTGTGCGCGGATAGATTGGAAGAATTCAACCTCATACACAAGTCAATAAAAGTATTCTCAGGCAGTCAAGCGGCTTTGGAAACGTTCGGCTCCTACCAAGCAACGTCTGAATTGGTAGCAAATTGCCAAAAACGATCTCCTCGATACGAAGACTCAGCAGATTGTCTCTGGTCTGGATTCCTGGCCATACTGGCCTGGAAGCCAATGAGGCTGCTGACTATCTTGCAAAGGAGGGTGCTGCAAGCAGCTTCATCGGATTAGAAACTGTCATTGGCATCGCTTCAGGCTTTGCCAAACAGATTGAACATCTGGATGATAAGAAGATTTATGGACTTCTGGAAGAATCTTCCAGGATTGGCTCACTCCAATGCGTTTATCCACCCTTCGAAGCTTGATACCAAACAGTTGTTGGACTACAGTGAGGTGAACTACGATGTCTAACAAGCCTTCTTACAGGCCACTGTCATTTGAATCATCATATACAGAGACTTGGACTGTCGGAAGATCGGAAGACAGTGTGTGTCACCTCTGTTGGGAAAATGATAAAACAGCAGAGCACACACTTTGTGCCTGCCCCGCTGGGGACACAATCTGAATTTTAGAGTTTAGCAGAGCCGTACTCTTAGCATCTGACCTGAAAGACCACTCACCATACAAATTAATCGGCTTCGTTAAGAAGCTGGGTTTATTTGGTTGAGTGACAGATAGTTGGTTCACAGATGGATCACAAACACCTTCCGGTTCTGGTGCAGTTGTTTTCAGTCACAGACCCAGGACAGAGATATCAACCTGCCTAGAAACCTATGCGACTGTATTTCAAACGGAAATTAATGCTATTGAATTGTGCGCGGAGAGATTGGAAGAATTCAACCTCATACACAAATCAATTCGGGCAGTCGGGCTTTGGAAACTTTAGGTTCCTACCGAGCAACGTCTAAATTGGTAGCAAATTGCCAAAAACGATCTCCTCGATACGAAGACTTAACAGATTGTCTCTGGTCTGGATTCCTAGCCACACTGGCCTGGAAGGTAATGAGGCTGCTGACTCCCTCGCAAAAGAAGGTGCTGCAAGCAGCTTCATCGGATTAGAACCTGTCATTGGCATCGCTTTAGGCTTTGCCTAAAGATTTATGGATTTCTGGTAGAATCTTCCAGGATTGGCTCACCCCAATGTGTTTATCCACCCTTCGAAGCCTAATACCAAACAGTTGTTGGACTACAGTAGAGGTGAACTACGATGTCTAACAAGCCTTCTCACAGGTCACTGTCATTTGAATCATCATATGCAGAGACTTGGACTGTCGGAAGATCGGAAGACAGTGTGTGTCACCTCTGTTGGGAAAATGATAAAACAGCAGAGCACACACTTCGTGCCTGCCCCGCTGGGGACACAATCTGAATTTTAGAGTTGAGCAGAGTCGTACTCTTAGCATCTGACCTGAAAGACCACTCACCATACAAACTAATCGGCTTCGTTAAGAAGTTGGGTTTATTTGGTTGAGTGTGAATAGGTGTGAGCCACAATAAACCCTTGCGGGTTGCGATGGAGGATCGAATAGACCCAATAGCTCCGGGCCTAACCTTCCTAATCCTGCTATATTTCTCTAATCATTCTTACCTCTGGAGGTGGAGCTGTGGTAGGAGTCAAGCTTTTTTTCTTGCTGATGATCGAAGCCTTTCGAACAGGTACTTCCACAACTTTTTTCTTGCAACACAAATTGATACAGAATATTTTTCGTAAAACATCTTTACAGCAATCTTTCGAACATTTCGACCTGAAAATGAATTATTATTAAAATTAACTTTCTTTTAATTATAAGTGTTTGTATATTGAGACATCATCGAAATGATATACTGTTACAAAAGAGAGATTGTTGACTCTATAATGAAAAAAAGTTTTTTTTATGCATAGATGTATATTCTCATTAACAAATTCTATCTATTTTTGAATTATTTGAAATAAATAACTGCTATTTCAATGTCAAATTTCCCACTGATGAATTACTTTGTACCAAAATGTTTGTGGACCTTTTTCAAAAATCTGTCATACCATGTTGAGTTCCATGCTTTGCTTGATTTTGGTTTCATATCTGAGGCACTGAAAACTTGAACGATTGTTTCAATATCAACTTACTGATACATTTCGAGCTCCCGAATTTAATACAACTAATGCACTAATAAAAAATTGAATCATCTGTTTATGAAGACCGTGTAACATATTACTGTTATTGACATAATAAATAAGAAATTCGGATGTTGAAAGAAGAATTCATGCGTGAAATAGATGATAGCAAATAAGTTATCAGAATTATCACAGTATGACATCAGGGTTAAATTACATAACTGATACCTTGTGAACGAAGATTATTTTTGATAATTTTGCATAGTATGTATTCCTAAAGAAATTGTTCCCTATACAAATTCTATTTGTATGGGAATGATACTTTGATAACATTTTGTGATATTAGTGATATTAGCCTAGAACAGGGGTCTCCAAACTTTGAAGCCTTCGGGCCACAATGATTTTTTCAGTTTATTCCAAGGGCCAATTTCTGCCCTTAACTATATTTGTAGACTAGGATTGTCACAAAGTGCGTGACCTAAGCAAAAATTATCTTATCTCTTCAACTTATCACAGCAATAGTAACAACAATTAGGTAATCATTGGGTGTCGCGGGCCAGATTGATGACAGTAAATCATTGGCCGTCGCGGACCGGATTGATGACACTGGCGGGCCGGATTTGGCCCGCGGGCCGTAGTTTGGAGACCCCTGGCCTAGAACCATAACAAAAGCAATACTGATTTAAAAGACTATATCGGCCTCGGTAGATAATAACATTATCCTGAGGTGGGTTAAAGGGCACGACATGAGTAAAGATGATCGCATTGCCGACTCTTCAGCCAAGGAAGGGTCTGAACTAAGAATTTTAGGGCCCGGTGACACCTACGGCCTGATAACTTCGACAATTGCGGAGCTAGCCAAACGTCACACCCATGCTCAATCCCCAAAGAGATGGGATGGAATCAAAGGATGCAGTCTTACCAGGATCACCCTGCTGCCGAAGAAATATCTGGCGATGAGCAGGAAAAACCTACGCTTAACAGTAGGTTTTCTGACTGGCCACTGTCAACTAAGTTAACACCTCCATATTATAGAGCTAGTGGACATACCTCTATGCAGGATGTGGAAACAGAAAGACGAAACTGTCAGGCATGTCTTATGCGAGTGTCCCGAATTTTCATCAATAAGAGAGTATCTATTCGGCGAGTATTGGCCTACACCTGCCGATGCCGAGAGTTATATCATAGTGACCTGTACACCTTCCTGAAAAGAACAGGATGGACGATGACCTAGGAGGACAACTCCACGGGATAATGTACAATGGGTCACATGTGGCCTAAGTACTGTGGGCCTACACTCACCCTCCCTATTCTACAGACAGACAGAACATACTATATTGGCGATGACCAGGAACAACCTACCCTCAACAGTAGGATTTCTGACTGACCACTGTCAACTAAGTATCGCAAGTATCGCCAATAAGAGAGTGTCTGTTCGGCGAGTCTTGGCCTACAACTGCCGATATAAAGGAAATGTCTCCCAATGACCTGTCTACCTTTCTGGAAAGAACAGGTTGGACGATGTCCTAGGAGGACAACTCTTCGGGAGGATGTACAATGGGTCACATGTGGCCTAAGTGCTGTGGGCCTACACTCACCCTCCCTACTCTACAGTCAGACAGAAGAGACTATATTTGTCAGTTAATAATCAGAATAATAGAATTTGATTGTAAAAACTGAGTAATACGAGGTCTGTTAAAAAAAAGGTTAATTTTAATTTTTCCACAAAAAAAATTATTCATCAATTTCTATTTTGTCCCCTCCAAAGCAGTCCCCAGCAGTAATAGTATACTTGTGCCAGCGTTTTTTTCATTACTCAAAGCAGTCCTGATATGCCCTTTTTGGTATGTTTTTGAGCTGTCTCAGTGATTCAGTTTTTGTCTCCTAAATTATTGCAAAACGCCGTCCTTTTATGGGTTTCTTCAATATTGGGAACAAAAAAAAGTCGCAATGGGACAAATCGGGTGTATACGGTGGCTGCGGCATGATCACGGTGCATTTCGCCATTACGCCTGATGCATTACGCCATGGTGATCGAATAAAACAGGGAGCAAAACTTCGACATTTTATCGAACTTGGCGTGCTCTTTTTGATGTTGGCTCTTCTGGGCTCTTCCATTGGAACCATACCCATGATTCGTCACCAATTATGACCCTTTCGAGATAATCTGAATCGCCGTTGACGTCATTCAACAATTCCTGAACGATGCTCATGTGACGGTTTTTCTGATCAAACTTCAGCAACTTTGAAACGGACTTCGCTGCCACACGCTACATGCCCAAAACTTCCGAAAAAAATTAAATCGATATGTCTACTTCCTCAGAAACTTTCTCTTTTTCGACATTTTCATCGATTGTTAATGTACTGGGGGATCCGTACTCTTATCATCCGACCTGAAAGACCACTCACCATACAAACTAATCGGCTTCGTTAAGAAGCTGGATTTATTTGGCCGAGTGTGGATAGGTGTCAGCCACCATGAATCCTTGCGGGTTGCGCAACCTTTAAACTCACTTTAAACCTAACCCAAACTAACCTAATGTGCTAGGGCATCCAGGGCGAGCGTCGTCATTCACATCTTCTCGGCCTCTCAAACATTTTTCCGACTAAGAGTACAGTCACCGTATGCCACTGTCAACATTTCGAGTGTTTTTGAGGACTGAATTGCATTTTTTACACGAAATTTGATGCAAATTCTTTAATTCATTTTTTAGACACCAAAAAACCACCGAACACGCAAAACTCTTTTATGCTTCTCACCAATAAACTGGACATGTGGGAATGTAAACATATGTTTGAGACGGGTGTATCACTATAAAAAAACAAAAAATCGCCCGCGAAGTTTGAACAGTCACCTTATTTTTTGACCGATCTCGTATAAATCCGGTGCTTGATATTATCAATTTGGATATGACAACGTGAAAATTGCGATAGTGTTAAGTATCTTGCATTCACGATAGACACTTTTTTCATTTCAAAGATACATATCAGAAATTCGCGACGGACTGTGGCTGCTTATCGTTTTGAGGTTCAACTGAGTACTCTTCGAACTCCACTGTTCAAAAACTCTCTCATTTGGAGAACTACGCTCGAGAGAAATAAACTTCCTGAGAACATTTTCCTGAATGAATTCAATCTACAGCGATTCAAACCCTATGTGAATCACTACTTTAGCACAGGCACCGCTCTTAGAGCCCCTTGAAAAGTTTCCTGTAGTGCTTGTATTTTGTCCTCAAAAATACTTTCACTATAACCATGTGGATATGAAAGAAAAGTTGGGTGTTTTTATGAATTTGCACAGATTTCCACAACAGAAATGAAAATAATATTTTATACTGGGAGATATAATTCAATCATTGTGAATCTGAAAGAGTGATTTTGTTTTATAGTGATTCTGATCAATAGCAATATTTCATAATGATTTTCAATGTGTAGTTTTCTCAATATAAATAAATTGGTAATGAAAATGAAGCAGACCAACGCAATAATATTACAGTTTGTTAGATATAAGTACACTCAACATCAAGATTGCTTCAAATACTCAGGCTTCTTAATTGACAACACATTGGATTCAAAAAACACTAACAACTCTGCAAAAAAATTTCTCTCCTTTTCAAGAATTAACTCTCATCTCGACATTCAAACATATGTTAGAGAATTCAATTTTTGAAATTATTTTGTTCATCAGTGTAACATAGAATCTTACATTTTTCAAGTAATTGAAGTGAAAGTTTCTATAAATATCTCTAAATTTTACCTAATGATGAAAAGAATGTTTTCCAATTCGATTTTTTTTTTAGTTCTCTCGTATTTTCTGAAAAGATTTGCGAAAGTAATGTATAGTTTTTTACACCCTCAAAAGGTAGAAATATCAACAAACAAGAATCATATCGATTAAAAAAAAAAGATATTTTGACGTGAGAGTTTTTAATTCGGGACTTTCGGTGCTTTTTCGATATTGAATCAAAATAACGAGAAAAAATGAATAATTCAAATCCAAAAAATCGTAGTATGTTTGGGACATGGAAAAGTAAGTTTTTATCTAATTTGGTAATAAATTCTCTGAATTTTAAATAGTGATGACATTAATGTTTTCGGATTCCAGTTTTTTAGTTCTTTCCTATTTTCTGTGAAGACTTGCGGAAGTAATGTATAGTTTTTTTACACCATCAAAAGGTAGAAATATCAACAAACAGAAATCATACCAATTAAAAAAAAAGATATTTTGATGTGAGAGTTTTTGATTTGGTGCTTTCGGTGGTTTTCGATATTGAGTCAAAATAACGGAAAAAATGAATATTTCAAATCCAAAAAATCATAGTATGTTTGGGACATGAGATGGTAAATTTTCATCAAATTTGGCGAAAAAAATGCAGAAGATAAAAATGAAAAACCAAAAAATCGGTTATTTGAATTTTTCTCATAAATTTTAGGTTTAGTAAAAAAGTGTTCTCACAAAAAGTTGTAGATCTTTCCTTACCTACATCTTTGATGTTCAAGTTTTCACCATAGCACTTGTACTTTTGCCGAAAAATGAAAAACCAAAAAATCGGTTATTTGAATTTTTCTCATAAATTTTAGGTTTAGTAAAAAAGTGTTCTCACAAAAAATTGTAGATCTTTCCTTACCTACATCTTTGATGTTCAAGTTTTCACCATAGCACTTGTACTTTTGCCGAAAATCGCAATAAACAATTTTTCACCCTTAAAAACCCACCCCCTTCCACTGTCCGACCTCAGATTGCCCGTAAATCATTTTTTTCGTTCATTTTCGTCATATTTTCTTCATTTCTCAATGTGTTCCATCCTACAACTTTGTTTTGTTTCAAAAATGATTGGCACTGATCAATGATAGATTACTTAAAAGCAAAATTATCATTGGATATTATTTAACTCACAAAAAGTTGTAGATCTTTCCTCACCTACATCTTTGATGTTCAAGTTTTCACCATAGCACTTGTACTTTTGCCGAAAATCGCGATAAACAATTTTTTACTCTTAAAAACCCACCCCCTTTCACTATCCGACCTCAGATTGCCCGTAAATTATTTTTTTCCTTCATTTTCGTCATATTTTCTTCATTTCTCAATGGGTTTCATCCTACAACTTTTTTTTGTTTCAAAAATTATTGGCACTGGTCAATGATAGATTACTTAAAAGCAAAATTATCATTGGATATTATTTAGCGATTAACTAGGATTTCTTCGAACTGCTTCTAATTCTATATAAAACAACCATTTAGGTATTTTTTCTATAGTTACTACCAAGTGAACTACAAATTTGGATGACTGAACAAATATTCATTATTATTATCAATTTATTTATGAAAATTTTCTGCATCTCGATAACTTTCCAAAAATTCTAATGATATACCTACGTATTCTAAAAACAAATTACAAACGATCTTCAAAAATCTTCAAAAGTGCTACTACTGAAAAAATTCCATTGTGACAGAAAAATAATAATGTGTAATCACTATTCAAAAGTAATCAATCAATTACCATATGCATCTATGAGAAATAAAGTGTTCAGATTATTTTTCGCAATCTATTTTTATCAAAAAGTATATGCAATTCGAACTCTAAGCATTCTTCCTTTAAGTGTAGTGTCTATTTTTATGATATTCACAACAAAAGTTGGTTTGATACATACTTTGGAGGAGTGGGAGTACTGAGTATGCTGTCTCTTCTTTCAGCCCAACTTTCTTTCCGCTTAGCCTTCGGGAAGCAGCTCAGATCGCCAATTTTTTTTGTTTTACAGCATTTCAGCCTATCGAAGCAATTCGTTTTTTTATTGACTTCGTCTTCAATAACTATAGTAGCGGGTGGGTTCTTCTTCTTTTTGAGACAGTTGAAGCAGCTCACTGGGCTCTTCGACTTTCCCTTCTTCTCCGATTTCTCTTTTTTGTCGCAGCACTTACACATCTTTTTTCTACAGGTGGTGAAAAATTTAGTGCAGCCATTTTTGGGAGGTGGTTGCTTTTCTGGCTCTGGGGGTGGAGTTGATTGGGAAGGAGGTAAGCTGAAAGAACAAATGAAATGTTTTATTGCTAAACAGATGGTGGATTGACTGACAATTTCAACTTGGAATAAGTAGTTTTCAAAAAATATTATTTTTATGAGAATTTCAGTAATCAGACAGTTGGACAAATTCTAAATGCTTTCTAAAGTGTGGATGAGATGATAGGAAAGTAACAAAAGGATCCACATTATAGTGTAACTTCAAAATAATGAATCAGTATTTGTTTTAGGTCAATTTTGTGATACTGGAGATTGGAAAAACATGAAATAAGAAAAAGATTACCAAATATATTATTGAGGACAGTATGTATACAGGGTAGATCTCCAGAAACTGAACGATCGATTTTGGGAAACCTATAATTAGAAAAAATCTGAAAATTTGACAGTATACTGAAATCGATAAGCACGACTCGATTAAAAATTCTCAAGATGACGTTACTTTTGGTTATATCAGAAGTAGGTGTCAACTTTGTTATTTTGAATAGAACGCCCTATATATTATTACATGTTTTGATTCTTCATCAGAATCTAAATACTTTTTGTGTATAATGTTATATACCTCAGTCTCACTGTTTTTGACATATTTGAATTTTTATGTCAAAAATGATGTTTGCAAACCCTACAATAAATATCAATTGTTCCTATAAGGAAACCTTTATCATTATATTTTGGTCGAGTTCCTTACAGAGTAGAACCAAATTCAAAACATTTTATATGGAATTTCGATAATTATCAATACAGGGTAGTCAAAAAAGAAGAATATAAATGAAATTCAATAAATCGTCTGAAGTGGCTTTTTTCAAATGGAAACCGCCCGCTTATATGATTTAATCGTATTGTGCATTGAAAATGAGGGTAACTTTCTATAAAGATACCTATTCCGAGAATAAGTAGTTTTTTGAATATTTGCAGGCGATGTNAAGATACCTATTCCGAAAATAAGTAGTTTTTTGAATATTTGCAGGCGATGTATTGAAGCTATTGAAGACTCTGGAGACTCCCTACATTTTGTTTTATGAGTGAGAGGACTTTGGCAGATCAAGATTTTCAGATGCTGTGGTGCTGCAGGTTTTTCCGGGTTTTCCTGCAGCTGAAAAAGCAAATGCGCCACTGGAAGCAATGAAGTCGCCACGGAGGCCAATTAATTTTCATTGCTTTTATTTTCATCGTTGTACAATAACTATGAAATTAATTTACCTCATTTGCAGTTTAATATTTTTCTGTCGACAGAATACTCATTATAGTGTTTCGAAATTCTGTCAGTTGGCCATGACGGCGTGGCCTTGGAAAACGATCAATTGATACGATAATGTCACTATTTATCATTTGCAAATTGTCAATAATAAATCATGCCGGGACAATTAAATTACATAAACGAAGATTATTTGAATTTATTTATAACGTACGGAGAAGTTGATGAAGTTATTTGAAGGACATGTATGACATTTGCGACCCGATTTCCGGGAAAAAACCATCACTAAATACTGTCAAAAGAAATTATTGAAAACTTTAAGCATTTTGGATCCAGCATACCAAGAACATCCACCAGACAAGTAGTGTTTTGTGTTTCATTTAAAATAACTAGTTTGACAGCTATTTCCGGTATAACCGTAAGTGCCGCCATTTTGAAAATATAAATATTTCAGGCAAGTTGTCCCTATCGAGTTTAAAATGTTGTCGAATTTGCAGAGTTTTCACCCTGTATAGAAAATGAGAACACGTTACGTGGAAACCATTGAGCTAACGCAATTTTTTCAGAGTGAAGTCTTTTCCAGTTTCATCTATCTGTCAATGTTATAAAGGAAATTGATAATTAACAAAATGATGGGTGCTAACAAAAACTTCTTGTACTCACACTATCTACAGTGATAAAGATATTTATTCAAACACCATAATGAAACAACTGATGAGACATCAGTGTCAAAAGGAAATGAAACTGAGTTCTAGATATGAAACCCAATAAAACCCAATAGCGAAATTGGAATTGTTCAATTGAAAAATAAAGAAAATGAATTGAAGAACCAAAAAATTTGAACTCATTGATACAAATTATTGTATGATTTTCACTGTCAAAAAACGGCGACATTTGTTTCGCTATACAATAGTTTTCTCAAAATAATAAGTTACTTCTAAATTACGACTATTTTATACTCAAAAATATTACCTACTTGTATGCCTACTTGCTAATGAATGAATCTACCTGTATGTCAGGTATGAATTTATCAACTATATGAATGAATTAAATTTTCGAAAGTACCGTAACTTTTCTTGGGAAATAAACAGTTTTAATAATGGCAAAATTATTCAGTCACTTTGATCGTTCATGAGATATTGAGAGTTTTTGAATTTGTTTTAGTTCCATACTCTTCAACAAGTTAGGTTTTCAACCTTCCTTCTGAAAATGGAGGTGGTTAAATTCATGGTTGAACTCATGTCCCTCTGTGAATAAATGGGTGGCATATGTGGAATTTATTCATCATCATCATCATCAGTATGAGAAACAGTCCCATTCTGGCAATACATTTTCGTGGACAATGGAAAGAGAAAAATACACAGTAACCCACTGGTAAGATGTTTCGTGTATTTGTATAGATATGTAGATGATATCCTGGTATGTTTCATAGGAACGAACAGACCATTGACTAAGTTCTTGAATTTCATCAATTCTCTCCACCCTTCATCACATTCACCATAGAGATGGAAAAGGACGACTCTATAAATTTTTTCGATTTGATAATAACGAAAGTTAATAATAAACATACAGATATTATCATTCATAATTCGTCCATCCACCTGTAGCAGCATTCAATAGTATGATCCACAACTGATAAATGTTTCCTGGTCAGAGGCGAATTTCAATAAAGAACTGTACATAATAAAACAAATAGCCGTCAACCATGAATACGATAGCAGTCTAATACATTATCTCTTATCAAAAAAGTTATACAGCTAAGCTTTGAAGGAAGTTTACCCTATTCGAAGAGATGAGGATAAAAGTTATAGAATCTCAACCTACTTAGGCCAACCCACTACGAATATTTCAAATTTTCTGCACAACAAAGGTGTAAATATTGCTTTCAAAACCAACAACAACTTGGGCATGCACATCAAGAACAACCAAAAAATAAGTTCAGTTTCAGAAAAATCAGGAGTGTATTAATTATCATGTGGGTCATGTCCGATGTTTTATATAGGTCAAACTGGAAGAACGTTCAAAGCCCGCATAAAGGAACACAGAAATAGTTTCCAGAATGAAAAAATAAACTCCACAAATGCCACTCATTTAATCACAGAGGGACATGAGTTCAACCATGAATTCAAGCCCCTCTATTTTCAGAAGGAAGGTTTAAAACTCAAGCTGGAAAGTATGGAAATGAATGAATTTGAAAGCTCTCAATATCTTATGAACGATCAAATTGAACTGAATAATTCACCTTTATCAAATCTGTTTATTTCCAGGTGAAGAAAGTTAAATATAATTACAGCATTTTCGGAAATTTAATTTATTCATATAGTTAATCAATTTATACCTAAACCTCATAAGGTAGATTCATTTATTGGAAACTAGGCATACAAGTAGCCTTGCTGATAAAATATTTAACCTAGTGTCAAAAAAATGGTCCTCGGATATTGAAGGATTAACCAGAAAAATGTGTGAGGTTAAGAAAACAACAGTTGAAGTACAAACACAACACAATAATACAATAATGAAACTTGATAAAGATGTGGAAACAATTATGAAAAGATTGAATTGCGTTGAGAATAACAATTTAGAACTCAAAGAAAAACTTGAAGATGTTGATCTATCCCAGAGAACTGCCATACACAGTGACTTGGCATTAAAATTTTTGAGTTGGAACAAAATTCTAAAATGTATGAGCTGAGATTATTCGGCATCGAGGACGTCAAAAACGAAAATTTAAGTGAAAAACTAACAAAGTTTTTCAAAGATAAGCTACATGCAGATATTACTGGATTCGAAAATTGCTACAGAGTGGGGTTTTACAGGGATGGAGCTGTAAAACCTCGACTAATTAGGGTAAAATTCAGCTGTTTGGCAGACCGAAATATTATTTTCTTCAATAAAAGCAAATTAAGGGGTAGTGGACTGTCAATAGCTGAAGAACTTACCAAGCAACGCCTGGAATTGATGATTAAGGCCAAAGTACAATATGGCAGAGAGGCAGTCTGGTCAAAAAATGGGATCATATATGTCAAACACAATGACAAAAAAATTGCATTGAAAACAATGGAAGATTTGAAGAAGATTCAAAAGACGGGAGACGAATTTTCAAGCTGACTGAGACATTTCATTAAAAAAAAAATATTTATTTTCAATTGTCGTACTCAAAACTCATTTTTATTTTTGTAATTTTTTGGTTATTTTCTTTTCTTTTCCTTTATATATTTTTTTACTTTCTTCTACTCTCAGCTATGAAATACATATCTTTTGGTTATTTAAATGTAAGATCTCTTGTTAGCCATTTTTCAGATGTAAAAGATCTCATTGTCCAAGGAAACTATGATATTTTTGGAGTTGTTGAAACATGGCTTTCTGATACCATACCAGATAAACATATTCAAATCAATGGTTACAAGTTCATTAGATGTGATAGAGAGTCGAGAGGCGGAAGGGGGTAGGTATATATCTGCGGTTCAGATACAGAATTAAAAACTTATTGATGACAGTTGTGGATAAAAATAACATAAAATAAAAAAATATGGCAGCTGGAGTATTATATACACCTGGTTCTACGTTTAAATTTGGCGAATTTTTCAATATTTTAGAGTTAACTTTATCAGAAATCGTTCCTGACTTTGATGAAATAATATGTGGAGGCGACATTAATATCGATATCTTGTTACTTGCTGAAAATGATACAGAAAAATTTTTAGACTGCATTGATAGCTTCAATTTAAAACAATCAATTGATACACCAACAAGAATCACAGATGTTACTTCAACTTTACTTGACTTTAATATAGTATC